CCAGAAGTTGCTTTTTGCTTGGGTAGGTGGTTTTCCTCACCTGCCTCTGGACAAGAGGGCCAGGTGAGGTGGCAGTGTATCGAAACAGTGCTCCTCCCCCGGCACCCATCCTCAGACCCCCTAACCCTCCTTCTCTCCAGCTGGCTGCAGCCTAGTGTTGAACAGGAACTTCGTGCAGTACGCCTGCTTTGGGCTCTTTGGAATCAGCTCTGCAGGTACACGGGTGTGCGGTTGGGGCTCCCTTCTCTTTGCTCTGGTGGAGCAGAGCTTCTGAAAATATATCCTTGAGGGTTCAGTGTCACTCCCTCTTCAGCCCTCTCCACGTCTCTGACTGCCTGGAGCTCCTTTCTCTTCTGGGGAAGTCGTGAGCCCAAGCAGGGCTGTAGAGGTGGGTCATTAGGTACGGGGACATCTTTTGCCCCATTCCTGTGATAATTGTGACAGGGGAAGTCCTGAGATTGGCTGGGTGAGGATGCTGTCTTGTTATCATGTTGCTTCATAAAGAAGAATACCTGGTTATTCCGAATGAAATCCTGGGAACAGAATATCTGAATCCACATCAGTGGTCTCAATCACTTTGTTCTCCGGAATATCACAGCACATTTCTTGAGAAATGCAGAACCGCATTTTTGAGCCTTGGTCTGTGCTAGGTCTTCTGTGTAGGATTTGTGTGTTTTAGACTGCAGCTGAAATTGGAGAGACATTGCTTAAGGCTATTATGAATTCTGTGGAAATGCCTTTGGAAAGGCTGAGACTTAGGTCTCTCTTTTTTCCCCCCAGACGATTGCCTTCAGCATTTTATGGGACTTGAAGTATTTGATGAGGTATGTGCATTCTGGTTAGTGAGTTTTATTATACACTCCTTGTGTAGGCTGAGCATTGTAAATCCAAAGTCTGAAATGCTCCAAAATGGGAAGAATCTTGGGCACCAACATGACGCTCAAAGGAGGTTCTCATTGGAGCATTTCAGGCTTTGGATATTCAGATTTGGGATGCTCAACCGATAAGTATATAAATACACCAAAACCTGAAACACTTTGGGTCCCAAGCATTTCAGGTTAGGGTTACCCTATCTGTATTTCTAAACTCAGTTAACATCTCTGGGTCAAAATCAAGCTTGTCCAGCCTTTGGTCCATGGGCTGAACGCGGCCCAACGCAAACTCATAAACTTTCTTATAAACTTATGA